GGATTATACATTTTTAATTTTTCTTTTCGTGACGAAATAGCTCAAACATTTGAAGTCATATTGGTCTGGGAGTTCTTGGCTCCATCGTTTTTTTTTTTTTTTTAATAATAAAGAAAAACACTGATCGTGTTGGGTGTGAAACGAAACCATTATTTCGGCATGTAAATTCTTGAGAAAGGGCCATGCATTTGCTGTAAGAGAATGGTTTACGTAAGAAGTCAATTTTTATGGAATTTGCAGGCACTTTTCGGAGATGAATACGTGACATTTCCTTTTGATTACTTGTCACCACCTTCGTTGCCGATGAAACCACACATTTTGCTGACCCCGTCGACAACTGCGAAAAACGGCAAATACGATTGCACCATCATGTCTTTACACAAGCTGCTCGATTATCGCCGGGAAGACAAAAAGGTGCCCACATTTTTAGCTTACTTTTTGGTTTATGACTGAAATAATTGACATATTACAGAAGGAGAAGGCCTTCGAGGTCAGTCTTTTTGCTGAACTTTTCAACGAAATGCTGCTGCGCGATAATGGCTGCTTGATCTTCAATGCCTTGTCCTGCGTTTCAAACTGTTCGGAGGAGAGCGTGAGAAAATTATTTTCCTTATTTCTCAGGTTTGTCTGTTTTCGCCTCGAAGTCGAGGAAAAATTTCCACTGATTTGAAAAAAAAAAAATTCAATCTTGCGATAATGTACTGTATTAGGGTATTCTTATACTGTACATTACATGAGTTTATTTTTTGGGCATCCAGATCACAAATAATCATTACTGTAAACTGCAATCACCCGTGGAAGAAGTGGGAGAAATTAATTAATGGGCGCAAGAAGGGTTGATTTTTTTTCTTCTGGCTTTCATGGCGTTCAAAAAATCGACAGAAAGCAAGTTTTTAGGGCAGTCCTTCTGCTGATCTGATCATCTTGAAATTTTGAAGAACCTGTGCTTCTTTTTTTTCAAATAATTTTAGGTGGAACTTCGAAAATGCAAGTTTCAACCATCAGACATCCCATTACCCAAACATTTGTTGCATGAAATACAGTACTTTATTGCTCTTTTGTAAAAGGACGATATTAAATCCCATCGTCGACCAGAAATGCAAATGTTATATGAGTTTCATGAGCATAATTTAAATCCCCTTTGATCTGGATTAAAAACAAAAAATGTTCTCATCAATCGATAGTGATCGCAGATGCATCCATTTATCCAGGCCTAATTTTACTCGGGCTAATCCATTTTTCTTCTCGCGGCGGTCACACAAGCCCTGTGCTATGAAAATTGTGTCATAGAAATTTTTAAATTCATTATTTTCTCTTTGGAATATTTTTCGCTTTCTAGATGAAGAAAAGCGTTACTGTGCCACTTGTGCAGCGGGAGGAAAATCGCAGGTTGACGAGAGCTCGACGCTGGCGAGATGCTGACTCCATTGCTAAAGTTACGGACCCGCGCTTGTTGGTCGCTTTTGGATATTTCGACGTTGACAATCTCGGTTCCATCAATGAAAGAGATATTGAAGACATTTTTCTTTCCCTTCCCATGAATCTGGCGCGTTCTCAGGTTGGCATATGTTGTATCTTCAAATCGACGATAAAAAAAGAGGCGCCGACACGCCAAAAGAACAAGAATGACTGAACGTGTGATTTTGCGTAGGTCAAAAAAATTTTATCCAAGGTTTCCTCATGTGGTCAAATCCTGTACCGGAAGCTTCATGTTCAGGCGACAGAACCAATCATTGCCACGGATTTAATTGCATCGAGGGTGTTTGAAGGTATACATTTTTTATGTTCTTGAAAATTTTTAAATTTCTAACTCTCGGTATTTTTTTTTTATTAATTTACAGATTCTCCTGCATTAGAACGTGCCGATGAGTCGGTTATCGTTCAAATCCCCGAAGCCTTGACATACATCACGAAAAGTGAGCAGCGGATTCAATTTCTGGAGCACCAAGTCGCCGAATTGAGAACAATCATAGGTATGCTTCGACAATAACGACACCGGAGCATGTGGCATTAATTTCAAAAAAATTCTAGACCAATTCGAGAAAAAGTCCGTGAACAACCGCAGGATGGAGAAGAAAATTTTGTCCGAATTTTCTATTCTGCGACGTTCCATGAAGCTCGCCGAAGACCGCTTGGAGTCTGAACTGGTGAGGCAAATATATGCGATCGCACAACGCAGCGTGTGCCAAAAAAGCTCGTCCGGGAAAGACGCGTCCAAAAACAGCAAATTCCGCAATCATAAAAATAATTTAAAAAAAACCTCCGGTATTTAGCACAAACCCGCGCTTAGCAATTTCACATCGTCAGATAATATTGCGGTTAAAAGTATAGTCACCCTTTTTCAATTTGAAAAGCAAAGAATTTTCTCGAATAAAATCGACAGCAAGGATTATTTTTCTGTTGCGAGCTGATTGCATGGTTCCTCAAGTTCCCAGTTAATTTTTTTTGGACCCGCGGTATTTTGGCGCGCGCTGAATTTTTACAAATTTAGTTACTTTTACTGGCGTGAATGATCGATTCTTTTTTGCTTTTCACATAGACAAGAGTTGGTGAGCAAATTTCGTCTGCGTCCAGCATTGAAAATTCGTTGAGAAATTTTTGGTACGACTCGGCTGAAGAGCATGAGGAACAGACTTCACAATCCAACGAAACGTCGACTGAAGTCAGTGGAGAGGAACAAGACGTGTCAATCGTCATTGAAGATGGATAAAACATCGTGCCTTATAAAAATTTGTATAATTCGTTGCTCTTGATCAGTGCATTTCAGAAACATCGCTCGGGATTTTTGCTGTTGTTTATTTATTCGGGCGATAAAATGCAAAAGCTTCTTTCACGCGTTGAAGCCGACTCCGATGGACTGAGAAATATACTGAGTGCTTATTTTTTCTGATAAAAAAACGAATTATTTTTATTTGACACACGCGGCGTAGATAAATGAGGATCAATCACCGTTTTGGCAACATACAGCTATCTAAAAAAAATACTAGTCATGAAAAACCCCATAGTCACTTCCATTTATCCCCAGCGACATTTATTTTTTAGAATTGAATTCTAACAAAACTTAGTCAAATATGTATTTCTCTTAATCACATTTTTTTAAATCCTTGAATATGATCAACCAATAAAATAGCTAATGGAAGATGTGAACATTAACCTTGAAGTGATTTCGACAGCAAGAGAAATGCGACAGCGAATTTCTGTTCAATCCAACGTGGTGAGATTCTGGGAGAATTAAAGCAAGGCATGAAACATGCGTCTCAATTATTTTGGCAATCAAATTGCACCTATACTTGCGGAATGCAAGGAAACCTTTCAACTGATTTGTGTGGAATTTTATGCTTCCGGCGCTGCAGCAAAATCTACGAAGTATGATGCACCGACTTCGATGCCAGCACTCGCCTCGAGCTGTCAAAAACTTCCTCGGAGATTATTGATTACAATTCTTATTAGCTTGATGAACTTTTAACAAGGATTTAAATTCCGAAATTTGACCAAATGAACAGAATACTTGTGTGTAAAAATAAATAAATAAATCCAGCTGCCCACAGTTGCAAAGGAAAATTCGTTGAAAAACAAAATCACTCGCGGATAAGCGCACCCTGCGCTTATTCGCGAGTGACGGGGAAGTTTCATTTGAGCGTAATGTTAAAAGTTACTCGCGAATAAGCGCACCCTGCGCTTATTCGCGAGTGATTTTCCCGATAGACTCGCAAACGCCGCGTCAAACATTGAGAGAAAGATTTATTGAGATTAATGCAGCCTTGATAACACTCATACGATTTGGAGAAAATACATTGACGTTGAAGTCAAAATCATTTGATGAATCTGAAACCATGATAATCATTCAAAAAGTGAATCCCCGAATATTTCTTCACAAAAAATCCTTTAAAGGATCAAAATCACCCTACAGTACTTACTTTCATTATAGAAGTTGAACATTATGATCAACACAGCTTTCTGAGTACTGCATTTTTAGGTAGACTTTTTTTTAACTCTTCCAGCGGCTTAGTAGCTATTCTTCTTCTTACTTCATTACAGCTGTGCATTATGCTCACCGGGATAATTTGTAATTGATATTGTATTTAGACAAAATGAATAAAAAATGCATCCCCTCAAAATCATTACAAACTCAATATAAGAAAAATAAAGTTATGTTTCGACGACTCATCAGCGGAATGAGGAAAATCTCAGCAGGGTTTTTGAGCGCCAAGTGAGCTATTGCTCATTGTAAGATGATCATTTGATCACAACTCGAGCAGTTTACCCGCCGAATTTCCCGGCAAACAAGGAAAAACAGCACAGAATCCGACAAAATTGTCTTTGAACCTCAGAAAACCATGAAAATAGTCCAATTCCAGGGAAGATTTGCTCACTTGGCGCTCAAAATTCCGCCGAGATGACCATTTGATCGCAATTCGAGCAATTTACCCGCCAAATTTCTCTGTGAACCGGGAAAAATAGCACAGAATCCTACAAAATTAGGTTTGACCGTCGGAAAACCATTCGCATCGTCGAAATCCAAGGCAGAATTCCCCACCTCGGTCTCAAAATCCCGCCAAGAGAACCATTTGAACGCGACTCGAGCAATTTACCCGCCAAATTTCGCTGCAAACCGGGAAAAACAGCACAGAATCCGAGAAAATTGTCTTTGAAACCTCAGAAAACCACGCGCATCGTCGAATTCCAAGGCAGAACTTCCCAGCTGGGTCTCAAAATCCCGCCAAGAGAACCATTTGATCGCGACTCGAGCAATTTCCCCGCCAAATTTCCCTGCAAACCGGGAAAAATAGCACAGAATCCGACAAAATTGTCTTGGAACCTCGGAAAACCATGAGAATAGTCCAACTCCAAGGAAGAATTGCTCCCTTGGAGCTCAAAATCCCGCCGAGCTGGCCATTTGATCGCCACTCGAGCAATTTACCCGCCACATTTCCGTGTGAACCGGGAAAAACAGCACAGAATCCAACAAAATTGTCTTCGAACCTCAGAAAACCATGAAATTAGTCCAATTCCAGGGAAGAATTGCTCACTTGGAGCTCAAAATCCCGCCGAGCTGGCCATTTGATCGCGACTCGAGCAGTTTCCCCGCAAAATTTTCCTGCAAACCTGGAAAAACAGCACAGACTCCAAAAAAATTGTCTTGGAACCTCAGAAAACCATGAAAATAGTCCAATTCCAGGGAAGAATTGCTCACTTGGCGCTCAAAATCCCGCCGAGATGACCATTTGATCGCGACTCGAGCAGTTTACCCGCCAAATTTCCCTGTGAACCAGGAAAAATAGCTCAGAATCCTACAAAATTAGGTTTGACCGTCGGAAAGCCATTCGCATCGTCGAATTCCAAGGCAGAATTCCCCAGCTGGGTCTCAAAATCCCTTCAAGAGAACCATTTGATCGCGACTCGAGCAATTTACCCGCCAAATTTCTCAGCAAACCGGGAAAAACAGCACAGAATCCAAAAAAATTGTCTTGGGAACTCGGAAAACCATGGGAATAGTCCAATTCCAAGGAAGAATTGCTCACTTGGCGCTGAAAATCCCGCTTAGAGAACCATTTGGTCGCGACTCGAGCAGTTTCCCCACCAAATTTCCCTGTGAACCGGGGAAACCCGCACAGAATCCGACAAAATTAGGTTTGACCATTGGAAAACCATGCGCATCGTCGAATTCCAGGGCAGAATTCTCCACCTCGGTCTCAAAATCCCACCAAGAGAACCATTTGATCGCCACTCGAGCAGTTTCCCCGCCAAATTTCCGTGTGAACCGGGAAAAACAGCACAGAATCCGGCAAAATTTTCTTCGAACCTCAGAAAAACATGAAAATAGTCCAATTCCAGGGAAGAATTGCTCACTTGGAGCTCAAAATCCCGCCGAGCTGGCCATTTGATCGCGACTCGAGCAATTTACCCGCCAAATATCCCTGTGAACCGGGAAAAACAGCACAGAATCCAACAAAATTGTCTTAGAAACTCAGAAAAACATGATAATAGTCCAATTCCAGGGAAGATTTGCTCACTTGGCGCTCAAAATCCCGCCGAGATGACCATTTGATCGCAATTCGAGCAATTTACCCGCCAAATTTCTCTGTGAACCGGGAAAAATAGCACAGAATCCTACAAAATTAGGTTTGAACGTTGGAAAACCATGCGCATCGTCGAAATCCAAGGTAGAATTCCCCACCTGGGTCTCAAAATCCCGCCAAGAGAACCAATTGGTCGCGACTCGAGCAGTTTCCACACCGATTTCACCTGTGAAGCGGGAAATTCAGCGCAGAATCCGGCCAAATGGATGCTTTCATCGCAGAAATGAGGTCGCAGCAGAGTCGTGCAAGCATTTTGGCCACCAAAGCGGGGTAAAATCTGGCAGATATTTCAATTCCACAGAAAGAAATGCTATCGAAACGCAAATATATCTGAACGGTTTATTTTCCAGGCTTTGGCAGATGATTTTTGTGTCAGATTTTTATTCCGAAGTCGCTCAACCTGAACCAACGAAATAATTTCGAAAATGCGAAACTGTCATTTTTGCAGATTTAACTTCAAGAAACGAGCCTAAATCCATTTGAAGGAAATTTTTGAGTCCAATGCGTGAAAAGTTTCTTCCCAACTTGCAAAATGTATTTTCGATTGCTGAAAAATTGTTTCCATTCGTCTGAAAATTATCTGCTGCGGATAATTTTCTGATTTTTGGGTAAATTTGGCGCTCAGAATTCCACTGAGTCTACCATTTCATCGCGACACCAGCAATTTCCCAGAAGAATTTGCTGACAAGTCAAGAATTTTGCGCGCGGAATATGACCGAGAGGGCGATTCCATCGTCACTCGCGAATAAGCGCAGGGTGCGCTTATCCGCGAGTAACAAATTTAACATTACGCTCAAGCGAAACTTCTCAATCACTCGCGAATAAGCGCACCCTGCGCTTATTCGCGAGTGAATTTCTTTGTATTGAGATTATTGTCTTTTCTTACCTCGCCTGCTGGACAGTAAAAAGTCGAGTACATTCTTACAAGAGACGTTAGGGATAAAATCGTTTTAAAGATGAAAAATTATACTTGCCGAGCAGTTGATATCCCTTTTGATTAACGGAGGTCTTTCCAGAAAAACAAAAATCGAAATATAATCCTCCTTTGATGAATCGTGTATCCTTAGATACTCCATTAATTTTATGAAGCATTATAATTTGATTTCTGTTTTCGATGGGGTTTCATTGATTGGTGACATAGAGTCATAGACCTCAAAATCCAAGTCATCGCATTATTCCTGAACTCAGATCCAAAATTGGATCATAATGCATCGTCAATTTAAAAACTTTAAAAAATACGGAAAATCGAATAAATTTCATTCACGGTCACGGATAAACGCAAGTGCGGGTTAAAATAATTCCACACTATCTTATATGAAAATGGGGACTGCTGACGCATTGAATTGGTGGACTGCTAAGTACTGCACAGTATTTTCCCCAGAAGTATAATAACATAGATCGAGTCGCGGATTTTCTGCAGCGTACATGAAGAATGATGCTTTCCTCACATTCATCGGAAAATTTATTTTCCGCCGGATGGCGAAGTTACCCCTCCGTAACGATTATAAACCACAAATTACAGATGACGTTTTTTTTTGGTGCAAAATATCTAATATTTTCGAATCACTTTCGCAAAGGAAATTTATTGCGGCATTGAAATAGCTTCACAGATTCGTTTCACCAATACCTAAAGAAAAAATATATAACCCGCTGTGCGAAAAACTGAAAGGCTGTACATTATAAAGGACAAAAGCGCACTTGCGCAGAATAAAACCGTTATGAAAATATGATGCGAGATACGTTTATCCGCTAAAAGAAAAAGAGGCTTAACTTGGCATTGAAATAAAATAAAGTTGGAACCCCGGTGGAATTTTTACAGCGATTTTCTCAACAAGGGAAGAAATTTCCTTTACGTTCAAGCAGCGAAATTTTCGATCGACGGAAATGGTCGATTACTGTGCACGAATTTTTTTTATTCTTTCGGTTATTATTTCAGAGTGATCGTGAGTACATTCGTATGCAACCAGATTATATTATTGGCAGAAAATTTGAAAATAATTTCATTTTCAAGGAAATCTGACAATTTCCTCTTGCCTAGGAATGACGAACTACTTCAGTTGTTTTTACGCGAAAAATATTTCAGTAGATGAAGCTAAAAAATGATAATTATCCCTATTATGGCAGAAGCGAAAGAAGGATGTTTGTGGCAGCTGCAGAAGGAAGACAAAGGAAAATGCGAATTTCTACGAAAAATCATTTCATTGAATCTCCCAATGTGAAACAAATTTGAATCATATGAAAACGCCGAAAAGAAAATATAATAGCCACAAGAACACGCACACCGTGCTTCCAAATTCAAGCGGATCGCAAACACTCCGCCACTCCCCTTGCATCACTACCGGGAGTTAAATAAGCGTGGAAGAAGATTCAAAATGAGAAAATGTCATATCCGTTCGCACAAAAACAGTCTCCCAGCTGAAAAAAAGAGCTTCCTCGCGCCAAACGCCGTTGCTGCTCCAGCGACGTTCCACTGATCCTTTTCCCAAAACTGTTCACTCCCAAGGTTTCCCACGTCAAGCTTTAAGATACCTGGTATCTCGCCCTGGAATGCACAAAAAAAATAGCATTAGCAAGAATTTCTTTCCACTTTCATTCCCTCCAGGGAATCTTACTTCAACGCCTTGTGACGCTCTTTTTCGTAGTTGTTGTCAGGGGGCTCACACTCGAACGACGCCACGGCGAGCACTGCGAATTTAAAATGAATTATAGAAAAATGTCGAGAACAAAGTCGCTTGAAAACTAAAATACTCACTCTCTTCTGTGTAAACCGGGTTCGTCTGCAAATACGTTAGGACGTCTGGGTCGGCCTGGAACGGGCAATTCACTTGCTGCCACGTCATGAACTCCGTGATTTGCTTCGCGAGCTGCCAGAACTTCTCAAAATTTATGAGTCCATTCGGCGACCTGAGGATTAGAAAAACAATCTTAGAGAAAACGCAGATACATTTGAAATTTACTCCGCGTGAGCAACAGGAGTAAGCAAACAAAACATCTAAAGGACCAGCAAAAGCAGTACAGGGATCATCAACGCACTTCGTGATTGCTGTACCTCGAAGGTAAACAGACAGGCGAGGGGTGGTCCAAAGGTTTTCTAAGTGCATGCAAACTATGATTAACTGAAGTTTTTCTACCCGTGGCTGCAATTGATCACGCCAAAATTTTAAATCATAACCAGGAAAAAAACACAATACGGACGAAACAGCACTGCTCGATTTAAACTTGACACTCTATTTTCATCCGATGAAATTATCACTTGGGCTATATCCTCATCATTATGTCAAGAAATCTTAATTTTTCAAGTATTTTTATCCATTATTTTTGTACAGTATACGGTAAAAGAACCCCTCAATATCCCCTACGTAGCCTAAGAGCTATACTGTACAGTACAGTACTTCGAAATGATTCAGCCACGTTATCCAGATTCCGAAAAAAAACATCCAGTCTTAAACTAACGTCAGGATTAAATTCCCCTCCTTAATATGTTGAATTTTCTTTGCACTGACTTTCGAAATTCTTAAACCTACAAATACAGAAAGCGATCTAAATTATGCGGAATTACTTGGATCGTATGATAAGTCTTTTCAGGGACTCCAGTTTTCGAGTACTGTATACAGTACTTTGAAATAATTCAGCCACATTATCCAGATTCCGAAAAAACATGTAGTCTTAAACTCACGTAAGGATTGAATTCCCCCCTCGAATACGTTAAATTTCCTCTGCACTGACTTCCAAAATTCTTAAATTTACAAATAGAGTAAAGCGATCTAAATTAAGAGGAATATTTGGATCGTATGAGAAGTCTTATTTCGGGACTTCAGTTTTCGAATCAGAATCCACCAAACGTCTAAAAAAATATTTTCGTTTATCAATGACTCGGAAAATTTTATAATCACACACTGACGTTGTAAAATTTATAATATTTGTGGTATCTATGCAGGATTTGAAAATACTGTATTTACAGCTCCTGAAAATTGTTGAACCACGCGAGTCTGATGGGAATAAGCGATTTTCAGTCCCCGTAAATATTTTATGTGCATGATCAAAAATTAACGTCGCAGTCAGGAAACGATAGAAAATTGCGCTGTCATTCCTGCCCATATATTCGACGAAAGAGAGCCCAACACAGACAACGCTAATGAACCAACCCTCACTTCAATGACCCGAAATGACCCGAAAGAGCCCCAAAAGACGTTCACGTACCTGCTGGCGCATCCTTCGTTAAGAAAGTACAAGTCCTTGACGAGGAGTGAGAAGAACGGAATGATGATCCGTCGACGACCCTCTTCGTCAGGCCGGAGGTTCGGGGTGACGTGCGGCGACCCAGCTGACGAGTGGGATGATGCCGAGGATGTCGACGATGACGAGGATGCGGGGAAAGGTCCTACGCGTCGAATGTGACCCAGTCCGTCGACGATCGGGTTGGAGCTCTGTGTCTGGCTTCTCCACTGAGCCGCTGCCAGTGTCGACCGGTAGGACGTGAAATTCGAAGAGGGGCTCATTTGCTGCTCCAATACGCTCAACTTGCTCGTCGGTACTTTCGACCACTGCAGAATCGGGGAAGGTAATTAATTACAACAACTACAAACTTCACTGCTCTTCCGAGCATGAGCTGAATTGAATCCAAGCGCGGCACAAGTTTTCAACAGGTCAGCACTACTGCAATCGACAGTTATAGAAAAGAGGTCCTTATATTATTAGTTTATATTTATCCTCAGCCATTCCAGATCAAACCATCCCCGACAAACTTCCTCATTTCACATTAGAAACTGCTTCGCGTAAATTAAACTTCCCGACTGACGCAAGGGCTGTTTTGCACTTGCGCTGATTTCGGCAAGACGCGTTCAACTGTTCGGTCGGATATTCCGGCAAGTAAAAATACATTCTCTCGAATTCTCGGGCTTTCAGGTTTCAAGCAAGGGAATTCATTTCGAAGTCAGTTCATTACCATGAAACTTCACGCGAAAACAATAATTAGAGGGAGAAATAATTCTAAATTTTTCGTCGCAGAGTAAACCATTTTTTGAAAACAAAAAAACCATATGATATTTGAACCGATCTGTAACTTTTCCAAAGTAATTCCGAGTTTAACCTGTACAGAATACCGGAATAAAAATCAACGAAGGAATACTGCTGTGTTATGTAAGGGATCTCAAATTCAACACACTTTCTCAAGCTCGCTAATTTTCGAAGCCAAAATCTCATAACCTCATCGTTGGCCCCGTCATACCGAATACAAGACTGTAACTCAGATGAAACCCAACTTTCAACATCAAAGGCTGGTGGTTCACAGTTCCACAAAATCCAATTCCGGGGATATACTCGAATCTGCGGAAACATCTCGTCGCGGTTTGCTACTTTCTCAAGAATTGGATTCATGTCTCATTCCAGCAGCATTCTAATAAACGCATTAAACTTTTTTCATCGGAAAATAAAACGGAGCTTCAAAATACTGCATTGTTGCGGTCTTAATGACGAATAATATTTGCCAGCAAGAAAACGCGCACAGTTCTTTCCCGTCGGCACTGAGGCTCAATTTTGGTCCATTTACTCACCAGGAGGGAACCAGAAATGATTATCTTTTAGTACTGAGGCAGCATGACCTTCGCAGCACATAATTGCGACTCAAAATGACAGGGTGGAGAGCAATTTATTCCTTACGAAATGCTTAAATCCGTGATAAAATGCCTTTCACCCAAAAGCCAAAACCGGCATCATATTCGGACAGGACAATGAAGCACATTTCTCAAGTAAAATTATTTAAAATCTGGAAAAAATGCAAAGTCGTTTAAAGTACTGCTCTATCACTGATCCAGGATGTTGGCAATCTACCTTCAGCACGAGAAATACGATCGAGAATTTTAGACCCGTTTTCATGCTGAGTTGAAAACCAAATGAAATATCAAATCAACTGCTCTCATATTTTCATCGGACATTTTATAGCCGGTATGACCATCAGAAAAATTATGTTTCTTCAATATTTCAGGTTAGGGAAATATTCCATTTCAAGTGCCTCAACAGAAATACAATCTGATTGTCGAATCAAAGAAATGCCAACTTCGCGTGTACTTTGGAATGGCTAATGTTTTAGGCCGCATTTTGTGGTTATTAGGACCATTTAAGAGTCGATGCGGATTTCCAAACAACCCTGATATGATATAAAATATAGAATAAAAACGTACCACACAAAAAATACTTTCGTATTCAGCATTTTTTGACTTATGATTAAGTAATTCTGGCTGAGGTTTTAGTCGGTAAAATCATGGAAATGATGGTCGGCAAGTGGAAATGCAAGGGTTGAAGATGTATTTCCCGTATACTCAGCACCGCATTATATCAATTAGGAATGCTGATTCATGTCCACAAGTCGACCTCAACTTTAAGCAAGCATGCGAACTTATCGAAGGCAGCTGGAAAGCTATTTTGATCGACTCTTGGAGCTCATCAGTACACGACATTCCTCGAAAACGAGGTCGCATACCATCAGCTCCTGACCTCGAATGCCGAGTCATTAAGGTAATACAAAACCTCATCGCGTTGCTCAACATTCAGCTTTCAATTTAATGATGAACATTGAAAAGCTTTCAAAAGATAAATACTATCAAGGTTTCCTTTTCTCTCTTTCTACCCCGGAGAAAAGATTCCTCAAGAAAGACCGGTAATGCAGAAGCGGGAGTTTAAATTTGAAATGCTGCTCCAAGTGCAGGAGATTATGCCTGGGAAAATCCTTTAAGTTGCCAGGAAGCAGAGTCAACCCCTACTTCAGGCCACAAATCCTCAATGCATGATTAATTTCCCATTTGGGTCCCGTTCGATTAAACCCACGTCGTCGGCAGAAGTGAATCTTAGCGAGTAATCTCCACCATTAAAACACAGGTAGCAGCAAAACACGCGCATAATAACGAACTCTTATAAGAGTAAATTTAAGGCTCGAATTTCCAGCCCATCTTGGCCCGAGGTTTCTCGATCTCGAATATCAGGGACACCTTGAATACCAGTCTTCTTAGGTCTGACAATTCGATTCCATAAAAGTAGAGCATAAAAGTAACACTTCTAAAAATTGGTGACCAGAACAATAGCTAACACAGAGTAGCGCAGCTTCCAAGTCGAGAAAAAGACGCGCTTAGCGAAAAAAAAAATCCATGCTTTCTTGATCTGATTAATGCACTTTCATAACTTCCATAATCCGACTTACAAAGCATATTTATGTTAATTACTGTAATAATTTTGATAAAATGCTTGAATCGCTCACCGTTTTCTTCAGTCTAGCGACCGGCGACATGTTGAGTCCCGCAATAATGGCCATCAGGGAATTGAAGTTCCCGATGTTGAAGCATTCCCTCGCAACTTCAATCCAATACTCGATCATCTTCATCCTGGTTTTCTTTTTGGTATTCTGAGTAGCAAACAAAGGGATTTGAAATGACTGCTCATGAGAGAACCCATTTCCAGATGAGCCCAACAGAAGGCCAAGTTTTTATCCCGCCGGACAAAAACATCACTTACGAGGACAATCTCGGTTGCGACGAAGAAACTTAGCCGGTTGAACCATTGGATGTACGATTCCAGGTTCTTCGTTTTCTTCATGTCTTTAAACGATGTCTCCAAGTTTGGAGCCTCTTTAGCAAAAGCTTGCACGAACTCCTCGGGTCCTAATGATGCGAAGGAAAAACGTAGAACATTTAAATCGTTGCATGAAACCTTGAAGGCGATTCTCTCGTTGGTAATGAAGATGGAAAGATATTCCAGGCACGACCGAGACTAGCGTGACGAACAGGACAATTGAAGACATCTCAAAACAGCGCGTTCCTAAAACGGCAGAAGTTCGAAACAGGCCCCGTATAAAATGAGTTTTCAGTGTCAAGACAATGACGCGTAAAAAGTTGAGTTTACTCGACCAAGTCCTTGGGCAACAAGAACAAACAAATGGGGATACAGTAAAGAATACTAGTAATCAACAGAGATAAGGAAGACTATATTGGCCCACGAAAAACACATACAGTCAAACATCCATAAGCACTTCGATTGTGATGTTTGTGGCGATTTAATGAGGGTTGGCGATCTTAAAAGGGGTCGGTGGTTTATCAGAAAAGCTAAAATAATATTTGAATGAACTACAATAGGTAATAATTCTTTTTTCGTCTAGAAAACAATCAAAATAACCCTGACATGCGTAAATTATATCCAGCTAATGTTCCCAAGAAATAAATTATCATCTTTGTGTTGGTGTTTTTTTATTGGAGAACTTTCACAGTAGAAACTGGAATCTCGAAAGACAAAATGTATTGGCAGGAGCATATTTTAGTTATAAATCGATTTTGGTGGATTACGTTCCAACAAGGTGTACTGTACAATGCAATTATCGTCGGGGAAGATTCGTTTTCCAAAATAAATTGGCGGTTGCCGAGGGTGGCGGTTTATATCGGGCGGCGCCTCAACATGCTATAAAGCTGAAATCACCACCCTGTGCGAAAGCAGCTCAACAGATTGTGTCGAAAATTCAGTTCGATTATCTTAGGTTCGGCACCTTCATTACTTTCCTGTGCAGCGAATCTGCAAAAGGTAATTATACGAAATGGCCGAAGTGAAACCGAACTTCCGCGCCTCGTCTCTTCATTAATGGTTGAAATTGTCACTCACACACAGTAAAGTATTTTATAATTTTCCGAACAAACTCTGTTCTGGCCAACGCCATTGATACGGAGGAAACATTTCTTTCGCCTAATCTTGTTCGTATCTGACTCATTTTTTGTGTTTGCCAAAAAAAAACGCAGGTAATCATCAAATGTAAATCATCCTTTTCCTCCCTCAAAAAGAACGATTTGCCCACGCCTAATCACAAGGCTCAATTAAGATCGACCTCTGCGGAGTCAAAACGTTGTTTTTCCCGTGCATGCTTTTCATTAACGTTTCCATCCGTTGGCGGCGCCAAGTGGAACACATAAATACATGTGGGCGTTGTATGTACGTTATACATCGTCACCTCATTAACCTCCAGAGGTGAGAAATAGGCGACGTCATCTGCCATCGCTTCATAATTTCGGCTTTGCCACCATAACTCCTCGATCAACACCACATAGGAGTTAAGCCATAAATTATAGAGCTCCATACAGAAATTTCATTAGAGCAAAAACTCTTTCAAGTTTACGAGTTCGAGAGAACAAGCACCATCTATAGAAATACTGAACGTGGCAACAAAGCGGACCCCCATAATTTTGCAAAGGGAACCGAAAAAAAATGCGCCATACTAGACGAAGTGCCGGGAAAGTTTCGCGTGTCCTGGAAAAGTGCGTGTTCACAAAATTTACGCGACAACAAGAAAACGCAATATAAAAGTATCAGCTGTCCGTATTAATCATTGTAAAAATCAGGATACTTTCTCAAAAAAATCTTGAAAATTGACCAGCAGAAGATTATTACTGTTTTCAAATTTTGCGGGTTGGCGCGCTAAAATTTAATGCTGAACGAGGTGAAGGTTTCTTTCCTTGTATCTTCATGGGTCTGATAGGCAATATTTTTTTTTAGAAAGGCGAAAGACTTACCAATGTACGAAAGGCGTTCCAGCTCTATCCTGGTGAGCTGTTTTGCCAAATTGACCGAGTTCGGACAGATGACCGTCATGTCCGCCTGCGATATGAAATAATAACCAGACATTGAAAATAGACACAATTTTGCAATGGCCAGATGAGCCTAAATAGTCCTACCGTTGGGACTTGGTCGAAGGTCCGAGGCTTGAGCTCGGTATTGATCTTGTGGAGAAACTCCTCGTATTTCTCCAACGCCGACAGCTTGTGCAGCAGGTTGTGGAGCACGAGCGAAACCTCTTTGCGGCGCACGTCCGACTTGGTCACGCAGTCAGACTGCGCAATTTTTTGCACGTGGGTCATCATCCGCTCATCTCGGAAATCATACGGGAACAGCTCCGCCCATTCTGACAGCAGCCGGATCACGTTCGGGCAGACTTTCTCGCGGTACTTTTCCTGCGAAAGGATCAGCGGATCAAATCGTCATCATCAGCCGCAAAATCAAAATCCCAAATACGGTCAAATTATGAACTCATTCGCAGCAATCGCAACGATTTGGCCCTCGAATTAAAGAACTTCGAAGACTCATTTTATAGCTCATTTTCGCAGAACTCGAATATTTCAATCACACTTCAGTAATTAATGCATATCTTCCGGCTAAATCAATAAAGGCTATTCATCAGCACCGGGTCCTACATAAAAATGCCAAGAAGAATTTAGCCACATTTTATTCGAAAGATTGTGACTCAACTATTATTCAGCATGCGACTCTAACATTTTATCAAACGTGAGCCGCGAAAACATTCTTTTAACGCCAAATTTTAACGAAAAAGTTCGCCTTACTAAGAAATGCGCTCGTCTTCAAGAAATAGCCACAAGCAATTTCTAGTTCTTGTTTTAAACGTACCCCAAGAGACGAAAAAGGTGTTAGTGTCTGTAGTACTGTAAATTGGTAATTAAAATGGCATCAAATTTTAGCCCATCACGAAAGCTCGCACATGGCACGTAGACTGAAAAAGCGATGAATTTGAAAATGCAAAAGATTTATTATTTTTTAAAGAGATAAAAAGTACTGAAAAGCAGCATCACGAATATTAGGGCTCGCATTTTCATAACTGCCACGCAAAAAGAAGGCACCTCGCCTTTGAAGATAGTAATAAGCTGAGATTCAAGTTGAAAAGCGCAAATTTAAGAGAGTTATGCAGTCACAAAACATGAGATCATATTCTCTGGTGGACCTGTCAGCGGAATTTTTTTCTTTAAAAATGTCAGCGGGTTCCTTAGACTCAAAAACACTAAAATATTCATATACGCTGCTGCACGGCATTACTGTCATCGCAAGGCTGTAGTTCGTTAGTCAACCGACAGTCGGCACAATTTTCAGTTCATAATCCTGCTTTTGTCTCACATTTCCGTGGCTTGGATCATGAAAGTCCTCCCAGGCTTCACATTAATGACGAAAGATAAGCCGTTTAATTTCCAAGCCCCCTTTGTCGCAAAAATCCCCCGGGGAGTGGAGCAACCATCGACCGCGATTTCCACAAAGCCGACCCAGTAATTTATCGATTCTGACGTCGCTCATAAAAACTAAATTTCCGTCGAACGCATTATTATGATTTTGTTTTTTTTAGCTGAAAGAAATTGCTTTTCCACTCTCTCTCTCTCAACAAAATCGGATGGGTGCGGGCTTCAGCCCGCAGCAATAAAATGGACTATTCTCCAAATGGATCGTTTCAGGAGACCACAAGAAAAATTACTTCCACGAAATGGTACAAGACTTCTGAGAAAATGTGCATCACGTGTTCTGCTAAATGTAACAAGAAATCTCCTCGCACAAATTTGACAAACGCGTTCTGCATCAGGGTGAGATTCGTCACTAATAGACAGAGCGTTTTTTTTTTGTCCTTTCAGCATATTAACTAAACATGCCAAATACACGAAGGCTGGTTCGAAAGCTTTTGTCATTCTTCTCGAAAAATTATTTAGAGTGGTGTTGTATCGTATATAGTTTCATTTACCGCTCATCCACGGTAAGATTGAGAAAGCACACAGAGTTAGAAGTATAGTATATTTTTTCACTTATACGAAGTAAGTTAGTTTTACCAGCAGCACATGCATGGTGAATAAATTGGCATAAGACACTTCACGCTGCTAATTAATGTAAAGAAAGCCAGAATCGGAATAACTCTGATTCGAAAGCATGTTCCAAATAAAAAAGGTTTTGATTTTTTAAATTTCTGTATCACTGATCCTAAAATATAATGGCCCACAAAAATTGAGTGGTCCGCCAGAAGTTCTCCAAACGAGAGCTCAATTTGAAGGACATTTTGGCACATCAACAGCGACTCTATCTGTCACTTCAGCGTGACTCAAACTTGCTGTCAATTTGTTATAAACCTTCAACACGTGCTCATAGCGAAGTGTAACAAAACATCATGATTTAATCGTCAAGGAAGTGCTATGGTCATATAGAGACGTTTGAAGGGATGCATAAAAATAAACAGAGGAGAAAACGTATGTTCTGACATATTGAAGATCATGCAGGTATTTCTTTCAGGCGTTCACAAAAACTCGACCCTTGGGAAATTTATATATGCTCAGATATGGAAAATTTTTACTGGGCTGCTGAATTCGGGCGTGCAGTTCACGGTAAAAGAACTCGTTTTCGAGTAAACCCCGCCTGTCAGTTGCACTGGAAAGAGACCCAAAAAACCCTGGTATATTTTCCTGAAGTATATAGCGACTTCTTTCTGTACACTGCTATGTGATGCGTTTCAACATTTTTTTTGAATTACACCACCTTTCAAGACATGACCACCCCAAGGAGATCAGTTTTCAAGCTCGAATTATATTCTGTGCAACAGTCCATAAATTTCGAATAATAATCATTCCTAAATAAAAATGAATCAAGCTGTCACGAAAAAATTCCGTGGGAAAATGACAATACTGAACTTTTCAGTTCCTTTTAATAAATAATATTGATACTTTTGGCATGAATGATTCCGTACTATGTCTCTAACTAAATAAGGTTTAATTAGTGAGTACGCAATTATTTAAAAATAACTTCCAGACGAGATACTTTCCGATTTTCGCATGCATGTATTCACCATTGGAGATTCTTTCGACCCAGTTAAATTGCCAAAAAATTTTCTTCAGTCTTCTTATTTTCTTAAGGTGAACATTGTATCATTTCCCACCCAAAATCTTCCACCATTTCACCACTATAAAAAGTCCACGAATACGCTTAGAAAATCAGAATATTATCGTGGGGCCCCGAGATGCGGACGCAATGGGTGCTTGGACCTTGCATGCTCCTATGTCGGAGCCTCCGTATATTAAATCAAGTTTCCCATAGACTTCCATGGGAACATATTTAATTGGTTCTCCTGTTTATTCAAAATATGGAATAAAATCCCCAAAATTTGAATAAAAATGTTTTCCTTAATATCAAGTTACATAAAATGTCTGCAGAAGAAAACCACACAGAATATGTTCTTTTGGCATCAGGGGGATCAAAGAACTAGAGCAAGTCCATCTTCACTTTGCGCACATAATGAAAAGAAAACTCTGAAAAAAAAGAAGCACAACATTTATCCGTATTTGATTATGAACTAGGGTAATTTGATAATAAAATTAATTTTTAATTTCGTGAATATGAATACTTCCACATTTTCAAAAGATATCAAAATTCAGCAAAAAATGAAATTCTGGCATTTTTCTAAAAATGTTGGGGTTCCTATCTCGAAGTGCAAATATTTTTTTCTAGTTTCAAGTGTTCCCAAGTCGAATTGTCCGTATGTCGGGGTCCCAGTGACGTGAACTGTCGATCTACGGGCGCGTGGTATGGCGCGCCAACTTTTCCGGACGACGTCTCTTAGCCCTTTATTTACGGGCGTTAAAAGCGTGAGTGAAACCACTACACGTCCAGCCGCTCGGGCTGCTGCAACAGGCACATTTTGCACACCTCCCCCAGCAAAATGTGAGGCTTGATGAAGAGCCGCGACGACAGGAGAAACGCGAAGATGTAAGTCCTCTCCGGGTAGTAGTCCGGCGTCGGAATGAGGTGCCTCACCAGCGCGTCCAAGCTTCCCGAAACGAGATTCCCGCCGTGCTGATACACCAGTCCCTGCTGAAAAAAAAAAAAAAAAAAGGCCCCGAGCATGTAAAACGTCTGCTTGCATTTGAACGAGGAACAAAGCGCGTTCCTAGGCTCATTCTAGGAATCATCTACCTGCAGTGGAATCCCGATTAATCCGGCGCGAATGGCACAGGAAACTCCGCGTTGCGAAAACTATTTTATGGTGAGCCGATTTACGCTTTATTACTGGCACTAACGCACTGCGGAATTCGCGGGAATTTGTTTGCTTACTGCGTCAACAGCATCATATTATCCACTATACATTCCATTATCCGCGCCAAGGCATACGTTCATTACCTCGGGTGATTGCAGTCTTAATATGGTTTCACTAAAAGCGGAATTAATTGCTGGTACCAGGGTCGTTGAGTGCGTCCCAAAACGGCGCACCCCGAAGCAACGACATCGAATATAAAACATGAAAAGTGCGAACTTGAGAAATAATTCTTGCCTTAAACAACACCCGAAAAGTAAAATATCAATTATTAAAAACGGGCAGGAAATGTCTGCAATGATCTGAAATGATTCAGTTTTACTCGTGAATGAATAACAGCATTCGACATCAAGAAACTGCTTGGAACAAGGTCTAGTTTGCGCTTGACCACCCGTAAACTGTTTCACACGAACAGGTGAAATTTAAAAAAAGGGCTGGAAATTCTCAATTTAATCACAGCAGATTCCATGCATATTTCAAAAAGCTTTCCAGAAGACGGAGGGAAATTGACAGGGGGTAACCGTTCCGTTATTGTCTTTTCGCTGTTTTGAGGGTCATGCAGGCGCTGTTTCCAGAGCGTTATTTTCGGACGCGCTCAACTGTGCGGGTGATGAATCTATCGCTGCAGAAAGGGACCCAGACTTGCAAAGATGGGGACACATTCCGACGATAGCCGAGGTCAATGAAAACAAGCTTCACTGGATCGCAGTGAGGAAACGAGCATCACGCCTCCTTTTGTCTACCCTTCGTCAATCGACCCAGTTGGAAACTTAATTAGGATCGCACTGAACGAATTGCTCCTTCTGTCTTCTTAACAAAGCTCAAGACGGAATCGACTCCGTTTGATCAATGGGTCTTCTAATAAATTCAGACGCCGATGCACAACAGG